AGCTAGATAGATAGATAGGTAGATAACGTGTAATATATATATATATATATTTAGATGGATAGATAGATAACGTGTGATATATATATATGTTTATATGTTTGGATGAACAAAAGGTGCTCTTCTTAGTAGCGGATGAAGTACATGAAAGCAAAGAAAACCTCATATCAATTGCCTGCCTATCTATCTCTATAGATAGATAGATAGATAGATCTACATTTCTATATATCTCATAAGTAGAGACACATATCTCTAATATAGCCAAATAGATCTATGTGTATTTACCTCTGTCAAATATCCTACCCACATATCTCATGTGTTAGAGGTGAGCGGTTAGTGATAATTATACTTCATAAAAAACAAACATCCTTTGTTTTCTTGAATACTGTCTGCAAAATGTAAATGTCTTAAGTTTAAACCAAAACATTGCTTTTTTCTGCTATTCCCCAACTCATTTTCTCTCTTAGTTTTGACACTGAAACAGAGGAAAGGGGGAAAAATAGAGCTAGAAGGTTTTTAAAAAATGAATTAAGCGAAAAAGGCAACTATGTGAACCCTTGAGATGGTCCGCTTGGAGTTTTTGTTGAGAAATAGGAGAATTTTAGAAACTGGGGGAAAGCAGATAGAGTCGCACCATTTCACACGTGCCTGGCTAACACACCTTGCACTGGGTTTGCTCCCAGCCTGCCCGGCCCGCTGCTCTGCTTTGCAAGACATTCAACTGCCATCCAGTGGCTCAGCTCCACGGACGCGCTCAGTGTCATTGCCAGGATAAACCTCCACTGCGGCCCCTCAAACACCTCCGTGCCCACAGAGCCCACCCTCTCCGACCACCAGGTACGTGCTCAGCGCCCCGTGTGATGCCCCTGCCGAGGAACGGTGCTGAGCCATTCACAGACTACAGAGGATCATCCCCATTTGGTGTCACTGGGAGAGGGGAGCCAGATCCTGGGCTGCGGGGAGGATTTGGATCCAGGAAGTTTGGGGGGGGGGTTTCCTGTCATTCCTGGAGCCTTGGGTCATGGCAGGACAAAGCAGGACTCGGTAGCATCTTTCTCCCCAAGCTTTTCTTTGGTCAAAACTGCAGACTCAGTGATACAAGAATATGTTATGGGGTTGGGGCATGTGACTTATGGTTGGGGGCTGGGGCACGTGACTGGTGAGGAGAGGCTGAGTGAACTGGACTGATTTAGTCTGGAGAAGAGAAGACTAAGGGGGTTGAATAACAGCCTTCACCTCCCTGCAAAGAGGATGGAGCTGGGCTGGTCTCAGTGGGGGCAGGTGACAGGACAAGGAGCAATGGGCTCAGGCTGCAGCAAGGAAAGTTGAGGTTGGATATTAGGAAAAACTCTTTCACGAGTAGGGTGGTGAAGCACTGGAACAGGTTACCCAGAGAAATGGTGGGACCTCCATCCTTGGAGGTTTTTAGGACCTGGATAGACAAAGCCTTGTCTGGGATGATGTACTTGGAGCTGCTCCTGCTCTCAGCAGGGGGTTGGACTGGATGTGACCTCCTGCAGCCCCTGCCAAGCCTCATTTTCTACGACTCTGTGATCCCCTGTTTTAGTTCATTTAGATTTCACCAATCGGTCACTTGGAACAGGAACCTAAAAGACTTCCACATGTTTCATTTCCACATCTTCCAGATGAATCCTTGGATCGTTTCAGCTTGAAATGCCATTTTGTTTGGAAATTTGCTTTGACTTCATTAAAACAAGAACATTCAAAAGTGGCCAAAACAACTTTTCCCCATTGTCCAAATACACCCGTTCATGCATAAGTAGTAAATAAAAAGAAAAACAATGAAGGCAGTGCAATACGACTGAGCAAAGCTCTGTCCCAGCAGCATGTCCTGTGTAGCCTTTGGTGGGCTTAGCAGCTCATTCCTGATTCATCGGTTATTATTCATTATCCTCCTCTCCCTTCCCATCTAGCTTGCAACCATGCTGGTTGCACAAGTTACTTCCTTCAATGCCAACACCTTGACTGCACTGGGACAGCAAGCCTTGGGCTTGACCTTTGGGCAGATTTCGAAGCTGAGAGCAGAGGACGTAGCAGAGCCTGCGACTTTGCAGGCGCTTGGTCAAGTCCACGGCTGGAACCGGGGACAGGCCCAGGGGCTGGTGAACAAAGTGATCAGCAGTAACTTCACGGTAGGAGTTTGTCACCCTAAGAACACAAGAGCATTTGCTTGAAAAAACCTTCTTGCGATGATGCTGTGCTCAGGGGTCAATGGATTTTAATTGCACATTAGTCACGAATTGGGTTAGTGGGCCAGGTCTCAGAAGAGGGTTGTAAGATCAGGGCTGTCATCACGTCTGCTCTCTGCTTCGTTTTCCGATTGCAGTTGGACACGGCAGAGGCATTTCACAAACTTGGAACATTGCTACCAGGCCTCCCCGGCCGTGTCTTCAGGAACATCCCCGCAGACACTGCCAAGGAGATGGCTAAAAATGAAGGCTTCCTGAGGGCCATCGAAAAGGCACCTCGCTACCTGAAGAGAGCTTTTGTGGGCAGGGTGAGCAAAGCAGTTGGGAGAAAACCTCCCTTCTTCGTACCAGGCACCTCCCCTCTCCGACAGACCAAATGCAGCTTTGCCAGCTGAAGGGTTCATCTGCTGGGTAGGGGGTTGCAAAACTCAGGGAGTCCGTGAAAAAAATCAGGGACCTCTTTGCCTTGACTGCTTCATTAGCAGTATCTAGTAAGCTGTTATTGCCTTGATTTATTGCCCCCAAACCTCCAAGGCACTGATTGGGCAAGGCCACAGGGGAGGCTAGTGACTTGTCTTGTGATGCACCTTCATCCCACTCTTGTAGATCATCTCCAGGTCCTCCTCTCTGAATGACATTTTACATGATGTGCCTGATGCTCTGGTGGACCAAGTCCCCATCTCGTTGCTGGTACTGCAAGATGGGCACCTAGATCTTCACCAGATCCAACAGAAGCAGTGGTCCGCAGAGCAGGTAACGTGACTATTGTGTCTTTCAGACTGCGTTCCCAGGAGCAAATTTGAGCCTAGCACATCTGGTCTTGGCTGGTGCAGGTTATGTCAATGAGGTTGGGCTTGAATCCAGGTTCTGGACTCAGCTGTGGCAAGGATCTGTTCTGCTTAATACTCCATGTAACTCAGCCCTCGGGGGTAATTTGGGAAGTAGGACACAGGACTGGGAGGTCTCCCACGTTGTTAGATCAGTCCCCTGCTCTCCCAGGCAATCAGAGCACATACTGCCCTCCATCAACTCACCAAGCCCCAAGTTTTAAAGCTGGTTGTTGCAGCTGGAGGCTGTTCTGCAACCTCCCTCCTTGGAGAGTTAGAAACCTCATTCCCCATCTAGACTTAGTCACGGCTCATTCATCTGGTGCCAACATGAAGCTTAAAGAGCTGGTGTTGACCACGCTAGAGAAAGGAGTTGCATCCCCTCTGAGGCAGGGGACAGGACCATTTGCAAAGCCAGCTCTGCCCTCCCTGACCATGCTACCGGCCCTTCTCTGCCACTTTTCCAATTGCAATTCTTTTGTGCTCCTGTCTGAAC